TATATATATATATATATATATATATATATATATATACATGTAATGGGAAAGAGAGGGGTAGTTAAATAAGATTCATTTGAAAACCAGCCTGTCAGCAACTAGACAGTCTATATAATTAAAATGAGAGGATGGTTATGCGATGTCAACAGTCTTGTTGCTGATTGCAGCTCTTTATATTCACCACAGTGGGATTACATGAGTTATGAACAAGTCAACAGAATTATAAGAATACAGAATACACCCGACTCCAACCCAGCTCTGTAGGATTCAGAGCATGTGCCATAAAGCTGATTGGAAGCGCTGACACTGACTACTAAGATAATTGGCACTGTGACAGCGCTGTCAGACGGTGGAGTGGGTGGTGTATCTCTGGAATTGATCAACGCAGAGAGAGATGGTGCCACTCAATACAATAAAGCAGCTCTTAGATGAAAATTATTGTACTTCAAAGGCTGAGAGGTTGGGTGATTTATTACAATGAGCTGTTGTCATTTTGACTCGTTCTCTGTATTGCATTGCTGTCAGGCCATATTTAGCTCCATACAATTTACTGAGTGACCACCTTGGCCCCTGAGATGTACACTGGGTTTTAATAGAGCCTCTTTGAGAGCGGCCCTTAAATACATACAGCCGCATATACTTGGGATTCCTATTAAAGTTTGAATGATATTTTGGTCTAGTCTTTCTGTTGATGGGGTAATCAGCTAAACAGATGTGTGTTTAATCTTTTTATATGTTCCTATAAACATGCGTTCTGCTCCTCAGGGTCGTGGCGGTAAGGGCTCCATATTTGTGTGGGCCTCTGGGAACGGAGGAAGGGAGAAGGACAGCTGTAACTGCGACGGCTACACCAACAGCATTTATACCCTGTCCATCAGCAGCACTACACAGAACGGCAATGTACCCTGGTACAGCGAGGCCTGCTCCTCCACCCTCGCCACCACCTACAGCTCGGGGAACATCAATGAGAAACAGATTGTGAGTTGTGGCCGACTGCAACATCCTCTGTCCTCTGATTTTTATGATTCTACCATAGAGAGCTTCAAATTCTCAGAGAGATTCTCTGCTGGGAAAAAAAAAAAAAAAATTTTATTGGACTTGCTGTCACTCCTGAAATATCGGGCCAGCAGGAGGCATTAGATTAGATTTTATTTTAATCCAATCATTTTGTTTTTCTTTAAAATCCCGGTAAAAAAGAAAAGAAACGTAGTTAGTAGGTGCTCCATATGAAGACTTTACTTATTCAAATTCTAAAGCTTTATTCCCATTTAGGGAATAGAAACTGTTCATTCAATAATAATAGCCATTTTCTTGTTGCATGTGGAGCTTATAAACTTAAAATTGCTTTAACCCGTATTGTATTAAAATATAACTGAATCTGTTAACACTAGGATTCCCAGAAATCTGATCCTACTAGAACTCCTACTGGGCTGTCAATTTGACGTTGCCATTTTTCCCTAAGGAATGCAAGAGCAGTGATGATGTCATCCACGGAAATAGTTCTAGTGTGACGTATAAACCCATTATGGATATGTAGACCTTAAACCAGGTCTAATATATATTTATTAAAGGCTGCATTATATGATATTATTTCTAGTCTAAATTTATATTAAACATAAAAAGGTAAAATAAATAAGACTAATATATAAAACTATTTACTACACAGGTTCAAAGTTTGAAATTATAATGTTATTTACAGAAATTGATTGATTCCCCCAGTACACCACACGCCACATTTTCACATTTAAGACAAAAATCTCATATGAGGGGTTTTGATGCAGTGTTGACACACGTGGCACTGTTTTCTTTGCCTCGCCAAAGCTGGCTCTTCTGCAGCATAGGGGTTGGTAACTTGCGGCCCTGGAGCGCATGTGTCATCAATATTTTGAAGCACTTCTAATGCCTGTTTAGCTGTTAGATTTCTTCTGAAAGCCATTTTTCCATATTAGCCTTATATCCCATTTACACTACCCTTGGAAAACCGATCCATGCTGAGACCGGTCCGAGCTCGGATCTGTTAACCAGGCCGAGCTTGGTTCTGACGACCGTTTACACATCACGCTATCTCTGTTTCTCGACTCCTCGCCTCCTAGTGACGATCTGCGGTGTTACTGCCAGTATTGAACGAGGAAATGAAGCAGTTGGTGGCGGTAATGCACCAAAAGTTGTTTGCCAACCGCCATAAAACACAGGAAGAAGAAGACGAAGAAGGAGGGAATCAAGCAAATCAAAATGTTGCGTGGAGAAGTTTTTGATTGTTGTTTATGGTCGTCTTCTTCTTCTGTTTTGTGTTGGTTGGCAAGCAACTTCTGGAGGGGCATTAGCACCAACGACTGGAATGGAGTGTGATCGGAATGTGCAGCCATGACGTGTTGTGCTCATGCGCTCTTGTTATCAGAGAACCGAGTCAGGGAAAAACCGAGCCGAGCCCACCTCTGGATCTGGTCTGCAGTTAGCGCGGTCCGGTTGTATCTAGCTCGGTTCAGTTCACTTTGTTTTCCATTTACACACGATAAGTTATCTCAGTTACTGGGTTCGGACCGGTCTTGGCACGGTTTTTCAAGGGTAGTGTAAATGGGGTAAAAGAGTTCCACAGATTTTTTGGTGGAATGTTAGTTGCTAGGCAACGGTACTGTCTGTCAGTCAACAACGGGAATAATTTACAATGCAATGAATTAAGCTGTGAAAATGTCGGCTGTGGGAGATTGAGGTCAAATCAACCATATTTAATTTTTAGGTTTTTATTTTATTAAAAAAAAAAAAACTGAAAATTAAAATGAAGGAAATATAGAAACAGCAAAAGTCAGTTAACATGACCAACATAAGAGTAATGTAAATAAAGTTATTTCACTTCAAAATCTCAGAGTTGTCAAAAATGCGGCCTTGGGAGTTCTACTGTTAAAGGTGTTAAAAAGGTTTTGGTGAGAGCAGTGCTTTCCCATCTCGTTTTCAGAGAGACACTGAAAGCAGAATTCCATGCTTTGTCTATTTAATTGTTTCTTGGGTTGGCTAATTTTAGCTAATTCTAACAATGTATTTAAATGTAAATACTGCTTATCACCCGATTTGAAGTGTTTTTGGAAATTTGACCACTTCTGCTTTTGAGAAATTTAAATGACTCACTGAATGTGAGTCAGAAGCTTTATCCACCATGTTTGTTTTGAAACTCTTGATCGTGGAAGCCGAGCCGCAGCTGGAGCCGAACTGCACTGATGTGTGCAGCACACGTAGTCACACACACACAGAGGCTCCAGCCAAGGATTTGAAGGAAAATTAATCAGCTTCTTTGTAATAAATCAATTAAATTATAGAAATAGGATATTAGTTGGAAAAGATTATATGTCTGCATCTACGATTACACTCACGGGTGTCCGTAGCCCTGCTGTGAGTTTGAAAGCTCTTGGTCCTTTTTGTTACTCAGATTGTTTCTGTCAAACAAAATTAAACAAGGTTAATGGTGCTCTAAGGATGTTTAGGGCCTGATTCTGAGCAGCACAATCATTAGGGAGGAGTAGCTTTTCCTCTAAACATAGAGCTATTTTAAGCTGGTTCAAACATCCAGTCAACCTGCTTCTCAGACATCTCTTAGTTTCAGCAGCCAAATTGACTGACAGGAAGCAAACAGGCTGATCGTATCTGTTGAATGTCTTGGAAATGGTTCAGTGTCCCTCTGGAAAAGTGGCATTTGCCTCGGCATGATTCCATATTTGCATAATTTAAGATTGGAAAGATGAGCAGTATAATCGGATGTACAGTTTCCAAGGCGTACCTCTGCTATGCGGTGATAAATGTTTTCAAATATGTTGAAATAAATAATACTTATACAGATCAGATTTGATCTGGTTGTTGCTACTTTAATGATTTTTGCTGAGGGAGCTGAGGGAGACCTTAAAAAAAAGCTATAAGTTATATCATTTTGGATATTTATCTTAGTAAAGTTTATCTTTTACCATAGTAAAAAAGTTTAATAATTTATTGAAAATAAAATAGAGTTAAACAATTGATTAATTAACTTTTTTGCAGTCAGTTAAGTAACTTTTCTTTCTGTTTTCACAGTTGTGACTCATTAAAACATCCATAGTAAAATGCTGGAGCTCCATCCATCAAATCTGTTTCAGTTTAACATTCTTATGACAAGCATTAAATCTCTTTCCTAGATATACATGCGCACCAGCATGCACACACATTTCCTCTATATAACATGCAGCCACAGAGCTTAAAGAGCCTGACAGGCAGCCGATGACATCTTCATGACATGTGCCTGGTCCTGTAATGTGTCTGTGATGCACTGATTTAATTATGATGTCACTCATGAACTTTGGGGGGGCTGGAGACTAGGAGAAAGGGCGACATCTGTGAGGTTTTTCCAGAGAAAAAATGTTAATGTTTTACTGAGATTTTTTTGGTTTGGTTTTGGTCCTCTTTTCTTTTCCTTAGTAAAAACTATTAATTTGTAAAAAATCTGATCAAAAGTGTCACTTTTTATTACTTGAAATGCTTTTTTTTTAAGTCTGTATACGTATCTTTTCTTGCTCTGCTTTTATTTTGCAGTCTTGTTCAACAAAGTAGACCAACTTTATTTTTTGCATTGAGCTGCAGGATTTGAAAAGTTTTTTTTCTTTTTATCATATGAGACAGTTTTCTTTGAAGAAACTCTCTGGTTTTTGCAGCCGCTTGCTTTTTATGCTTGCAGGGGGAGATATTCACATCTGGGAGCTGCCCAGTGAATCCACAGCACTCCGCTGTGGATCACTAGGGGGATGTCTGCTGAAGCAGTTCCTTCTAAAAAGAGACTCTTAAAGAGAAGGAGAGCACATGATTTCCATGGTTTGATTTTTCTAGCTGGCAGCTTTGTGCTCTTCACATTCTGACTCTTTATGCATTAGCTGATTCTTGCCCCCAGCAAATACAAGCAGTATAAGATAACAAATGAGAATAAGGTGAAGAGTAAGGGATTTTATTCATATAACTGGGGCAAGTTTTAAGTTATCTAAGAGCTTTAAAGGAAATTGGTTATAAAATGTAAGGGGAAAGTTAAATTCAGATAAATATCGATTGATATATATCTGAATTTTCTAAAAAAAATATGGTTGCGCTAGCAGGCATAAAAAAAGCATAGAATTTTAAGTGAATAACATACCATTCTGTGAAAATTTATTTTTCTCTTTGCAGATAAAATTTTTTTCTTTTGTGTTTACATGCCACGTCATCAAAAAAAAAAAATGGATTTAGAAAAATTCTAATCCGAACTAATCTGCTGTATAAATGTGTGCCCCCAAATATGTACATCCCGCTTTATAAGCTATGGTGGCAAAATGTTGTTTCTTCACCAAACTAACTTACTGACATTCAAAGCAGTAGTCACCATAATTATTCCAAGACCGCATCATGTTTATGATGCAGCAGTATAACACATGGGCTGGACAAAACTGGGGAGATTTCCAAGACAAAAAAGCAGTGGTAAGCCTAACCAATTACAAAAGGCCAATCTCACATTCAGCCAAAAAAGTCTTGAGGATCAATACATATGCTCCAGAATGACGCAACAAAAATGTATCTTTATGGAAAACGAAAAACTACATTAAAATGACCGGCAAACATGTTGCCGGGAAGGTAATATGAAGTTCCTTTGCTGCTTTTTGGAACCCAGATTGCCAGATTGATCGATCAATGAATTATTCTGTGTATTTGGGAATCATGGCGTAGAATATTATACTATAATAGAATATTATACTATAATATATTATATATTAATAATATTAAGATAATGAACTGATACACACCTAAAGGTCCACCTATAAATGGCAGAGAATGAAATGTTTTGAAATGGCCTAGTCTAAGCCCAGACCTACATCAGACTGAAATTGTGTGGTATGATCTTAGGACCAGTTATAACCAGGCCAGTAATAATTGAAAAGCTTCTTATGTCACTAATTTATAATAAAGATAAATCATCATGAAAACACTGCTGTTTGTATTTATTAAGGTCTACCTTTCTTGATATTAAATTTAGTTTGATCTGAACGATTAAAATGTGACAAAGAATCTAAATCAGAAGATAACAGCGCTGCCAAAATGGAGAAATCTGTCTGAAATATGTTTTTTTTTTTTTTTTGTCTTTCCTCCCCAGATAACAACAGACCTCAAATCTAAATGTACAGACTCTCACACCGGCACCTCTGCCTCTGCCCCCCTGGCTGCGGGGATCATCGCTCTCGCTCTAGAAGCCAAGTAAGTGCTTTAAATGCTTTTTTATTTATTTTTTTTTGTGTGTGTCTGAGTTTGGACCTGTACTGCTTATTTGCTCCAATTATATTGATTCAATTTGAAATTGATTGAAATGCAGCGAAAAGGAAAAAAAAAACCAAAACAAAACAATGTGTGTACTGTAAGCTCATTAAGCTGCGCCTGAAATTTTTAGAGAAGGTTTGAACACATTCCATTTCTAAGCAGTTTGAGTTGAAAAGATGGTGACAGAAAATATTTCAAAAAGATGAACAGATTCATACTTTTTTGTTGCTGCATCCTTAAAGCCCTCATGTTGGATTAATCCGCTGCCGGTGGTGCTGCCTGTTGCTCATCCATTATAATTAGATTTTTCAATAAAAAGAGAATTAAAAAAAAAAGTATTCAGAATGAAGTTATTTAAGCCTTCAGCCACATTTTTCAACTGTGCTGTTACAAATACCTCGCAGCACTAATCATTTTTATCTGGTCACCCAGCACTAATGGATGGCCATGAAAGATGTTGGGCACAAGCTTCAATGCAAGCAATTAGTCTAGATGATGGAGAGGAAAAAACTATAGAGACAAAAAATAAAAATGAATTGGATGAGGAAGGATTCACCCAGAGTTAGCCTGTCGAATGCCCTCATTTGAACTAAATCCATAATAAAAAATTAAGCTGAATTTAAAGCTATATGAAAAAGAATGACAATTCCAGCCCAGACCTTTATCCCTGCTTAATGTTAGCATTATGTAGAAAAACAAAACTTTTTTAGTTTTTCTTTATTTTGGCAAAGGCTTCAAATGAACCTCAAACACATGCCGGATTAAGACCTAATAGCCTTGCTGAAACTGTGACTGGGACCTCATTGATTTAATTAGCTTTCCACCTGCAGGTTTAAGCTGCACATGCATTGACAGGCTCAGCCCTTTGATCTTCTGTGGAGCTTCAGGTTGATTTTTAAGCAACAGCATGTGGTGCCACACGTGTTTGCTGATGTTGGCTATTTTTATGTGCAAACATGCATTTCTGTTTGTTCCAGTAAACAACTGACATGGAGGGACATGCAACATCTGGTTGTGAGAACTTCTCGTCCTGCCCACCTGCTCACGAACGACTGGAGAACCAATGGAGTCGGACGCAAAGGTGCAGCAGCTTCGGCCAAGTTGTCTTCTGTAAAGAGATGATCCTGAGGGCAGGAAAATAGACAGCAATGTGCAGCTTTTTTAGGCACTGTGAAAAGAGTGCTGCTTAGAAAAAGAGCATGCCAAAGGCACAAGGAGAAAAGATTTCATTGGAAGAGTCTACAAGATAAACAAATGATACAAATCTGGCCATATACAGTATACATTTTTGCGGCTAGATTTGTATAAACAGGGTTGAGATCTGGTCCGGATATGTTGAGTGCTCAAGACTGTTATTTATGCAGTGAGATACTCATCCATCCTTCAGAGCCAATAGGGAGGCGCAAAAGAGTGGACAAACCCACACCCATAGGAAATCTGTGGTTAGTTTGGAGAGATCTTAGAAACAATCTACCAGGGCTATTCCTTAGAAGAATCAGTGCTGTTGTTAATATTACCAATTTCTTTTTATTTCACAAATAGTGATGAAACTACACTGTTGAACAGAGCGTTAGTCTAAATATCCTTAAACATTTGTACTGTACTCTATATGCATCACTACACCTTTTGTGCTTAAAATAATAAAATAAAACAGATGAACAATTAAATTGAACATAAGGGAGAGATATGTCGGAGAATAAAAAGGCAGAAAAGCACTGAAGAACACAGGAAGGTAAGAAAAAAGTCTGTGAGAAATAAAACAAGATAGACAGAAAATGAATCTGTGAACGTAGTCAATGATTTAAATTGGTTTAACCAAAGATTAAAAGTTAAGAGATTAAAAAAACAGTAAGGAGAGGAGCCTGCATGACATCCAAAGTCTGAGTCAGAGTTTTCATCACATCTTTGCAACATGTAAAAGCATCTGGTCTACGGACCTGAGGGAATGAGACAGTACATTAGAATGCAGTGGTTCAGACAGATAAAATGGAGCACAACTGTTAAGAGGCTTAAAAACAAATAGGACTCCAGTGGCGAAACCAGTAAATGTGGGCCAAAATTGGGGAAATTGGCTCTTCTTTGCTTGTACAAATTAAAAAATTACTGCAGACACTTAGTATCAGTTCTAAGAGGAAAAATAAAGCTGATAAATGCCAAGAAGAAACGTCACAGTAATCAACACACTAGGTACTAAAAGAAGGATGAGTATTTAGCTAAAAAGGCTGATGCTGACACTTAAAAAAAAAAAAAAAGTGCAGAATCCCTTAAACACGAAAATAACTCAATTATATAACAGAGGAGCTATCTGACACTTAAAAAATGTAATTAGTGGATATTGGTCTCCGAAACTGCACCAGGGTGACTATCACCCTTCAGAAAGCAGACATTGATGAGGCTCATCTCTGTTCTTGTTTCTACAGTCAGCCATTCCTATGGATACGGTCTGCTTGATGCCAGTGCTATTGTATCAATGGCAAAGACGTGGACGAATGTGGGGCCACAGAGAAAGTGTGTGATCTCCATTCTCACTGAGCCGAGGTTGGTATTCATTTACATTATCATTATGTCTGCCTTTTGTATTGATTCCAACATTTGTAGTTATGGTAAAAAAAATGAAAGCAAGTAAAGCCGAATGTAGACTCAACTAATATGATTTCTTTACCCATTCAGATAGATTTTCTGATGGCACCTGACGACAACTGGAATATATGAGGGCTACTGTTGTTTTTTTGTTGCTTTTTATATGGTAAAAGAACAATTATATAACCAAATGAGACGAAAACAAGATTCTTGATTGACTTACAGTTACTCAATAAAATGAGCAGAGAAGCTAGTGCAGCGGTGCATGGCACAAATCTCTATCACAGACCAAATGACCAGATTCCATTCCAGTAGATGTTGCATGGGAAACAGTTTTGGATGTGTTGCAGTTTGGTTAGTGGAGCCTTAATGTTCCATCACCATATGCCTGTGCAGGAGTTTTCTAAATTAGCCTTCATGCATCATTTCAGTGAAACGTTGTCTTCATTTCTGTCGGCCTGGTTGAATTCATTAAAATCTCTGCCAATGTTTGTCTGCTCGGGCTTCTCCCAATTACATCTTTAACATTAGTTTTCAGCCATCTTTTTTTTCTTCCCCCGCCACTCTTCATGGGCGATACGGTCTAAACTCCGTGTGACATCCTCTGTTCATTATGCTCTCCCTGTCACTCGTCTCACTGGGTCAGAGCTTTGTCTCTCCTTTACTGCGGCAATGACCAGATGGTTCCAGCATCTGGGAGTTGCAGGTTATTCAGTTTACATTTTAGGTTTTTAGCTGCCTTGTTTATCAAAAGTGATTCACAATAAACAATCTGAGGAAGGAATAACTCCATTAGCAGCGTTATTCACTACATTCAGATATTAACATATCAAAAGAGCCTCTGATATCGGCCATTCATACAGCAGCTGTGATCATATTTTGGAAAGAGGATTTTTAACCAAAGAGGAAAAACTACTGGAGGAAAATCTCCTCTAAGCTTCCCCCCTGACTGAACAAGGTTGGATTTGTTACAGGCTGGATTTCTTCCCTTCTCCATGCCCTCTGAATTTGCGTTTGCACATTTTGTTGTTTCTAAGAACTGATTGCAAATATTGGAGACAAAAAAAAAATAACAATATTTAGTTTTGAGAAAAGAGCAGGTGGATGAGCTGGAAGCTTTCTTGGAGCTTTTCATCCGATTATTTGTAGTCTAGAAACACCCTCCTCTTTTCTCCTAGGTTACCCAGCCGCAGCATCACAAAGCTGCACGTTTGGCTGGGCTCAAGAATTATCTTTTGTGTGCCATGATAAACCTTACATACAATACAAAGGAGTCTCTGGAGGGCAGAGATTTATGTCCTTACAGGCCTAACCTGCAGAATTTAATTTTAACTGATTTAAGTCTCCTAATCCAAAGGGGAGGAACAAAAAGATCAATTATCTAATATCTGCTTAAAGCCTCGTATTGAATTCCCAGTACCTGGTACCATCCTTACAAGATATATTGTCACCTAACAATTGTCATGATATCAGGACTCTCATTGTCATCACATCCATTAGGGAGGTAATTACTTCCCCCCCGGCAGAAGAGGGAGACGCAGTGACAGCCTTTACAAAAAATAGCAAAAAATATTATGTATGATTATAAAAATAAATCTGATAGAGCCTCACTGTTAGGAAGAAAAATAAGATAAAAATTATATTAAAAAATAACCATAGCGATCCTCAGCAGTATCCAGATTATTTATAGTGCTCCATTTTACCATAGATATAAGCCCAATTAAAACTAGCTCAATTCGTAAATAAGTTTGTCATAACAGCAGACAATAAGTAATATTTAAAAAAACTCAGCTGATCATCCAAAGCAAGCATGTGGGGACTGTGGAAAGTAGTTTGACAGAAACCTTTTGCGCAACTCTCCTCGGGATGAGCTGCCATTTGCTGCGGCAGACTTAGAAGCTAAACGGCTAATTAAGGTTATTGAAGTGTAGTTTATCACTCCCCCACAGCGCCTTAAGTTCAGCTTCTAGTCGTCTTCTCCAGTGTAAAGCTGCTTTACTCATCAAAAGCGTTTTACTGCAGGTGATCCTATAATGGAGCTTGGAATATGCAGATCTGTTTGGACTGTCATTGGAGGCAGGTCATATATGATGCGATATGACAAATCTGAGCGTTTTGTGCACATCTGCTGCTGTCCATCTCAGAATTGTTGTAAATGTGTCCTAAGAGGATTTGAGGTGAAGGAGAGAGGGGTATTGAATGCTTTACCTGCCTAAGAACAGCGATTCTCAGACATTAATCCGTCTCACCCTCCAGCCTATTTTGGTCAGCAGTGCTGGCACAAAAAAGAAGGAAATATAATGTTTGCTTCGAACCTAATGTACGTGTCTTGCTTCTGTTGTCGTCTTGTAGGAACATCGGCAGCCACTTGTTGATTGACAGAAGCGTGGATGCCTGCTTCGGTTCAGACAGCCATGTGACCTCTTTAGAGCACGTCCAGGCCCGGCTCACCCTCACCTACAACCGGAGGGGGAACTTGGCCATCCACCTCATCAGTCCTGCTGGCACGCGCTCCACCCTGCTGCACCCGAGGTACTAGCAACCCCAGACCGTGAATGCATTGAGTTTAAATGCATAATCCCAATAACACTGCTAAATACTCTATGTCCTTTAGGCCTCATGACTACTCATCAGAGGGTTTCAATGACTGGGCGTTCATGACCACCCACTCTTGGGATGAGAACCCCAGCGGGGTGTGGACGCTGGAGATTGAGAACGTAGCTGGTGCCAGTGATTATGGTAAAGCAGCTATCCTCTGACTGGTTTTATTTTTTTTCTGCAAGTCCCATCTTTCTGAATTGTTTAACAGATTGCAATCTGTTGTGTCTGCTAATCAGATAAAAGGGTCATAGTTCACTGCCAGGTGATTAGACATCAAGAGGCTTTACTGTCTCTGCAGTAGTTTAAACTTTGTGGCTTTGCAGCAACCAGTTTACCTGTTGATCTTTGCTCTTTTGCATGACAATCTGTGGGGGGATTTCATTATACTCAAAAGCATTTCTGCTTCATCTTTGGGATAATAATAAAAAAAAAAAAAAAAAAAAAAAATCATCCAAGGAAGGATCCTCCTTTGATTTCTCTCCTCTAAGGTCCTCCTGGAGCCTCCTTTGTTCTCATTTCCTCAAGGTGCTTTTAAGGGATTGGAAGATGGCTCAGCGTCTTTGGCAGGGAACAATTTCTAGGTCACAAGTGCAAGAAGGACATGAGGCAGCATACGTTATAGTAGAAAGGAGCTTTTATGTTTGCTCTACGATCTTGCGTCAGAGCATTGCTAACCCCACAAAGCTGCTCCACAACTTAATATGCAGTCAAGAATCTGGGTTATTGTCTTAAACATTCATCAGTAGTCAGGAGTGATTTACAGAAGTCACACCTCTAAAAGTGATTGATTTTTTTTTATTTTTAATTAGTTGATATGTTCTTCATAACTGAACTCTGTAATAGAGGATGTGTTCTTTTTAAATCCTTAGTTCATGTTTCAGAGCCATGTTCTGTCAGGAATAGAAAGAACACAATTACCAGAATCCACTGGGAGCACTGGAGCCTTGTGGCTTTTGACGGGCCTATTTCTAATTTCTTTTTTTATCCCCTTGTCTCATTTTAGGCACCCTGACCCAGTTCACCCTGGTGCTTTATGGCACTGGCTCAGCATCTTCCAGCTCATCTGAACAGTCCCAGTCCAGCAACGACAACTGCAAAACTTTGGATCTGAGCACAAAATGTATCGGTAAGACAAGTCATCCTCACCCCAGTTAGCTCCTTTCACACAGCCGCAGCAGTCAGAGGGTGAATAAAACAGATAAATGGACCCGGTTAGTGGGAAAACAGGCAACACGCCTCAGCTAAACTTGTGACGGTGTGTGCTCCGCTGCACACCATACTCAGTTTCTCAACACTCTCCTGCCGGGATTGGCATTTTAAATGAATAGGTAACCTCTGATTAGATCAAATAAGCATCACCTCAGCTCACTTAACTAATCTCATTTCAATTTGAAGCTCTTCACTGCTCTTCCTTCCTAATACAACTATTGCTATAGGCGAGGTCTCCCGCTCCCACTGAGCCACTTCTAAATGCAGCTACATGCTGACTGAGATGGAGTCAGCCTGACCCCTACAGGCTGTGCGAGGGTTAAACATGTCAACACACAAGTGCTGACTGAATACAATTATCATGCATTTTAGCAGCATCTCAACCAGAATGTTGTGATAATTGTGCATCTCAGGAACAGAGAGTTGTATGACAGCGGAAACACAATTATCATTCTCCCCCAAGCTGCTGAAACGCTGCAGAGATTTTTTTTTTTCTTGTATTCAAGCCTATTTATTTATCTGTTTATTTTTCAGCTTTGCTGCCCTCACACTGTAACTGATTACTAGATAGCCACTTATCTGTAGCTGGATCCCTTCTGCTGTTTTTGTTCGTTGCTCTCAGAGTGCAGCAGAGTTCATTACTGCGAAGAACAAAAGATGCTGAAACCAAGCATCCGGGTAATTGGTACCACTGAAGACAAACTGGAGTAGAGGATTTCTCTGAAGCTGTGGAGTTAAGAATGTAATGATTCTAGACTCGACTTGATGAAGTCATAAAATGATGTGTGTACATGAACTAAAGTTTTCCCTGCTTCTGGTTTCAAAGGAAATGCATCCCACTTTCTCAGGCCATCACCTATTGACCGGTTATGTCCAGGGAACAACTTGGATCTTATTTGTAGCATGAGAGAAATAATCCTTTAATCCTTTTTATTAGCATTTGTTTCAATAGAGTTGGACAGAAACAACACTCCAGCTATTGCTACTTCACTGCAGATTTATCAGAATCAGAAAAAAACTTTGTAACGAAGATGCATTTTACATGTAAGATAAACACAGATAAACAAACTTCCAGGACGTGGATGACTTTGAGAATATGTAATTTTGACTAAACAACTGCAAGTTGTGTAGGGATTTTATAGTGTAACGTTCTGCAAAGAAAGAGCACTGTAGCAGATCTAAGAAATAAGAGAAATTAAAATAAATAGCATTTACATCTCTTGAGATCTACATTCATTGCAGTATCTTAATAAATTGTGGAGATGCACTTTAATTGAATTATCTTAAGTTTGTTTTTTCACTCAGTTTTTCACTTAATTTATCTCATTCTCCTCGCATTAGTCTGAGTACTTTATGAATTTAGACCATCAGTTATTGTATATGACAGACTAAAGGGTTTTGCAGTGAATTTTAAAACTTAATTTTACCAGAAAGAGTTGAACAACCAAAATTGCAGAGACAAGAAATTACAAGTTCTTAGTAAAGTACATGCTTCTTGTTCTGGGAATTGGACACAGCTGTTAAGATACATGATTAGATCAGAGTTAGCGCGGTTGGCTGTTGCCAACTTCTTTCTAGACATTTCTAGTCCCTGGCTGCAGAGCAGCAAGTTTTTTAAAACTAGCTTTGCCCCAGCACCCATCACAAAATGTTGCTTTGGGTGTTACAGACTTTTTTTTCCACTTCTGCTTCCACTTTTTATATTTATGCTGATTTTCGTTTGGCCTGTGGTGCTTGCTGAGATGCGTTTCTGCAGATGGATAACTTGCAGACCAAATTAACCTATAAATAAAGTAACTTAAATTCAGGACAAACCACTACTTAATGAAAAAAAATAACTTTCCTCTGATTGAATCGTGTTTATTATTTGAAGTTCAATGTTTCATTTAGGAAGTGAGTTGAATAATCTTGTTTTATAACAAAGGTTCTGTCCTACCTCTGGAATTTTGATAGCTTTGAGATATGTGGAAATAATGATTTTGGTTCCCTCTTTAGGGCGCCTCTGACTCATACGAGAGGGTAGATGGTGAGTGCAGCAGCTGATTTCAGTTTCTCTCTCTCTCTGCTGCAGAGTGCAACCCTGGCTACTACCTCTTTCAGCGGGGCTGTGTGAAAGAATGTCCCGCAGGGTTCGCAGTGGGCTCCCAGCCCCTCAACTACACTGTGGGAAACTCCATCCAGCCAACTTCCGTCCCGGCCTGCCTGCCCTGCCCGCCGCCCTGCGTCACCTGCAGCAGCCTCAGCCCTCAGTTCTGCCTGTCCTGCCCCGATCACAGCTCCTTGGACTCCATCTCCGGTACCTGCCTGCGCCTCAACCACTCCATGCGAGAGTCCCCCGGCGGCTTCATGGTGGGCCAGGAAGTCCCCAAGCCTCTGCTCGAGCATGGCTCACAGCTTCCCGTCACCATCGCCTTGCTCAGCTGTGTGGCCATCATCGCTACCTTCGCAGGCGTATTCCTGCTGCTTCAGCTCCGCTCCGGCGCGCTCATCAAGCTGCCCTCTTTGGAGGCGGGCGGTGGCTTCAGCCTGAGGGGAAGCAGGGTAGTGTCGTACCGCGGCATTCCGACGGTCTGGGGGGACGATGGGCTGAACACGGACTCGGAAAATGATGAGTTTGACGTCCACAACGAGAGGACTGCCTTTATCAAAACACAAAGTGCTCTTTAATGCCTTCAGAAGTCCCTCCTCCTCCTGCTCTCCTTTAAATTCCTCTCATCCCCATCTGTCTCCACACTTCAGGGCAGTTCACTGTCCTCTCTGTCTCTTCCACTCAAACACCCTCTTCATTGTATCCTCGCTGTCTTATTTAGATCCTCATCTGCTTTTAGGAACTGGTCTCACTTCGTCGTGGGACTCATGATGGGGAGCTGCTGTTTTTGAAGCTGGGATCAGCCTGAGCTTTTGCTTTGTTCACACTTGGATGCTTTTTTTCCCCAAACCTCATATCACTACCAGCATCTGTTGGTGCAGAGTTCATTTTACCTCCAGCTTACAGTAAACAAATGCTCATTTACTGTATCTACACCCCCCCCAATCTTCCATTAGTCTCAGTGCAGTAGCCAGATGAGATTTTGAGCAGGAGAATAAGAGATGATTTTGTGTGCGTGTGCATTTCTGAATGAATGAGCCTGCATAGAAACGGGTGTCGAGATCTGATGAGCAGTTTGGAGCGTCGTGCCATTAATGAAGACATTAAAGTGCTTCCTGTCATTTAAGATTTTAACTGATGGCAAAATGACAGTTATTCAAAGAGCCATTCAGACTCATTGAAAAACATTTTCTTCTTTCCTCTTTGTCATTTGCTAACATCAGTATTTAAAATCTGTGCATTTTATTACTGCATTTAAAATAAAAGAACAAGAGATTTGACAGTTTAAAATGCAATCAGAGCAAAGAAAGCCACACATTAAATATCTAAACGCTTTCCATCATTTTTAGATTCCAGCCTCACTTTTTTCTAAGGCAAGCTGCGTTTCAGGAAAAAGAAATGCCAAGAAAACATCTCTACATAAATATCTCACACCCAGCTTTCTATTTTAATGGCAGCATCTGATGCCCCTCTCTCTCCTTGGGTGGGAGATGAAGCAGCCGAGGCGCCGCCGTGCATTTGTGAGCCCCTCAAAGCAGCTGGCAGGTGTTGACTTACCTGTGATTGATTCATCGACACAGCAGAGGCTGTAACAATACATCAGGGCCCCCCCCGCTGCTGTCAGAGTGAATCAGCCCCTCAAACACAAGGTTCATGTCTTAATGACTGGATGTGGGTTTGATTTGTGCACGAGCATGACCAAGGTTGTAAAGCATCACCTGACTCGCCTAGCCTCTGAGGCTATGCCCCCCCCTCTTAACTCTCCTCTTCAAATCTCAAGTGTGGATTAAAATCCCACTATCGACGCTCCTTAGCTCATCAGCGTCTCTGCACCTCATCCAATCACAAATTCAAATGATCAAGTTGGCATACTTGAATATTTTACTCCAAATGATTCTACAGCTAAGAGATTTTATTAATATAATTATTTTAAGTGGTATCATTTTGTTTTTCTTCTTTTCTGGGCTGTGATCATATGAAATAAGCGTCTCATTGTTTAATCCATTATAGCCATTTTGATTCCATTGATTCCTATCCTTTTTTTTTGTTGTTTTCTTTCACTCTTTGTTTAAATTTCTGCACAGAAAAGCCAATGCTTGCTGGAAGAGGTTTCCAGATGATGGCGTGCATAAAAAACTGCAGCTGCTCATCCTTTTATCTACCTCTCATTCCACAGCAAGGCTTCACACACTTAGACGGGGCTGTTAATTATAGAGGTGAATTTAAGTATGGGATAGGCATGACATTTTCTCTGTGGTGATATAGTTGGATGGGTTTATGTTTCAGAAGAAAAGAAGTGAAAGCAGATCACTAAACTGTCAACTCTACTTCCCCGGAAACTCACCTGTTCTCTCTTAAATGTATTGCCTTTTAGGATCAGCATCATGCGTGCTTATGAGTGGGCTTTAAAACCGCTTAATGAGATGAAATGTTCACAGATGAAAATGGCTGGCTAAAACCGGTGGGATCGTTTCTAAGGGGCGTCTCCTTCTGGACTTTTGTCGTCTTATTTTATTGTTTTTTGTTTTTTTTTTCCTAAGTTTATGTCACTGACAATCATTTACCTTGTCTTGAAGGCAAGAAGGGTGCAAAGGCACACAGAAAAATTGATTTTAGCTATTAATTGAACCACTTGTGTTGCAAAACCTTCACATGTGTTTCAGAAAAGGCTCAGTTTGTAAAGGTGAAGCTGACAGATGCAGGTATTTTAGTACGGATGCTGTCAAAACCAGTTTTATACCCTCAGATGGCCCAAACCGGAAACATGCAGCACATTTGGTTGTTTCCTGACTGACAGGAGACCTTTGAGAGCGGATCTGGTGGGGAAAAGAACAACCTCAAAAGCAACAAATGTGTTATAGCCTGGAGCTTTGTGTGATATACGTCAGTGCCTACCGCCATACCAGCTTTGATTGGTCCCCGCTGAGCTCCAGCCTCAATCTGTGCAAACACCAGGAAATGGGTAACAAAACAGGATCCAATTAAAATCTGACTGTTGACTAATTATAATAAAAACCATGATTTAGACGGCATCTTGCTATTTGCATTTTCCCTTTCAGTCACTTTCCCCTTTAATTGATTTTCCTTTGTTCTATGTTGATGTACTCACTACAGCTTGACAACTCTGAAAAGAGGAACTCTTTTCATTTAAGGGTTCAACTTTTAGAGAAACTCCTGAATGGAGGCAGCATTAATTAGCCCGTGCTTCCAGAGCTGCTGAAATCCATCAGTGGCTCTATTGCCACAATGTGATATAAAATACACACTAAAGAGAACTGGTTTGCCAGCGGCCCCAGAAAGCAGCCCTTTTATGACTATAAAGTTTCCACCTGGCTGGCAGTAAAGCTTAAAGCTGTTAAATGCTGACAAAAAAATCTGTTTATTGCTAATTATTTTTGTCCGATTGTAAAGATGAAAACCTCATCATTTAAAGGCTTTCAGCTGGGAGCTAGATGTTGCTCTTGTTCCCATTTCTTTAGGATTTAGTCTGAAATTGGCCACGCAAACTCGGACTTAGTTGATAGGAGCAATATCTTTGGCATAACCAAAGACAATCATTTAAATGCTGTTTGTTTCGTATAGAACGTGTCACCTTCAGGTTGGTTCATCCCATCCGTCCTCCTGTAGCTGCGTTCAAAGTGTTTAAATGAAACCCCAGTGATCTCTGCCTTTCTGAAGGTCCCTAATGACATGTTGCCTGTTGAGCAGCTGTGGAGGGAGGAGGTAGAATGTATCCCATCGCCACGACCTTAAGGGCTGAACCAGATCTGCGTGCAAATGCTTGTTAAAGTAGAGACGAAACACAACACAGTGCGGTGGAGGAGCAATCTCAGTCCACATCTTTGACCTCCTCCCACCTCTTCTCGAGGCTCCTGACCTGTGGCTGCGCACAGTACCTTACAAATTTGTGACCGATGATTAATGTATAAGAATGACTATCCTACATGGGACATAACTCTAAAATAAGGCCTATTTTTGTACTATATGAATGGTGCAGTGTAATTTTCTTGTAATTTAAAGATGTTTTTCTTTTGTTTTCTTCTTTTTATTTAATTGATGTCAATTATAGATTCTACTAAAAAAAAATAAAGATCTATGCAAATTTAAATGTTTTATTCGTTTTGTTTGTTCAGATTTTCTGAGCAGTTTGGAAAAGTATGGAATTTGATCTCAGGATTTTCCAGGTCTAAAGTTTATAAAATTCTGAGTATTTCAAGAATATTCTCTTTTAATGGGGTTATAAGGATGTTGACAGTCCTTACCTACTGTATTTCTCTCCTCCCTTATGCCCTTCCGGTATTTCCACTTTAGCTGTTTCCGTACTTCCGTCCTTTCTGCTAGAGGCGTCCTACCTTTGTTCCTCTCTTATGTTCTTTTCCATCAGTCATGTCCTTTCTTCTTTCCTTTTTTCCACATTCTTTAGGTACTTGCCTTCTTTGTACCTTTCCTTTCTTGTTTTCCTTGCATCGTTTTTCCTGGTGTCTTTCATTGTGTGTTCCTTCTCCCATTATTTTTCTGTTCTTGTTTTCCTTTTCTTTAAATCCTCCTTTCTCCCTCCTCCACACCCTTCCTACTTTCCGTATTTTCTTTCTCAGTTTGTAACACCCTTCCCTCCTCCTACCCTAATTTTTCTCTCGTTTCCTTCCTTCATTGCTTCTTTCTTTAATTCCTTACCTTGTCTTTAATCCTTCTTCCTCATGTCCCTTCCTTCCTTTCTTACCTTCCTGATGTCCTTTATATTTCTTAAACCTTTTTCTATATCTGTCTAAACTTTTATTTATCATTCTTACCTCTCATTGTTTTCTATTTTTATCTATGTCTCTTTCACTCTCTATCATGTTTGTCCATAATTTTTCCTTTCCTGCTCAACCCCCTTCCTCCTTCTAAGTCTCTCTTTTGTCGGATATCATATTTAAAGTGTCTCCGATATATTTATAGCGCATGCTTGTTTTATATTTTGACTCTGTCATAAGGGACTCAGGACTTTGACTCTGAAGAAGAATAAAAAGTTTCTCTACAGTGACGCATGTTAAACCTTCTGTGTTTAATGCTTTAAATGGGCTGAACTGTGATGAATGTGGCAGTAAAGTTTTGCAACCAGGGAAGGAATAATGTGCCGGAATCCATTTTTTATTCAAATTAAGTTTATCTGGCTTTAAGATTGCAATCTATTTAAATAGAAACTTGTCGTGGGAAAAAAGTATTCAACTATTCATCCTAGTTAAATAAACGGAGATCGATGGATTTCACTCAGTCGGCACATTTATTAATATCTTTG